ATGCGTTAGCAAGCTCAATCTCACTGAGGCGCATAGCGTGTATCAGTAAAATGATTTGTGTGGCTTAATTGTAGACATGGGATTTGCATTAGTCGCTGTAAGCCGAAGGAATGAGGGCTGTCACATGTGGTGCGACAAAAAAAAACGCTACATACATACATATGTATTTATGTACAATTTATGTATGTGTATATATATATGTATATACATGCAATAAACTTTGAGCCTAAATATGTACATACATATGTAGTATATGTTTTAGCAGGGTTCTACCCCAACCAAGGCGAATGAATACAAGATGGTGTACAACAAATACATAATTTTGATATTCAGACCACCGCTGCGAAAATCGCAGATGCTGTGGTAACGCCACCTTGTATGATTTCGCCTTGGAATTAACATTATCCTTAAGTATACAAGCGTATCTTTGGTTAAAATTTTAACGTTTTTTGAAATGCGCGCGAGTAAAATCGGCGTATCCAGTTACGCACTATTAATGTATAATTTGTTAAAATTCTCTTTGTCTTTTTTGGCGGTGTAAGCGCCTAAGCGATTTTTGCCGAGTTCAAAAAAACACGCCACTCGTTTCTCTTCTGCGCCAACAGAGGCTAATTGGAAGTGCCACGTGAAGCCAAGTTCTTCACCACTTGGTCTCTCTATCGCCGTCGAGGCCTCCCCTTCTACTGCTACCACCAGCGAACCCCGAGTTCAATACTTTCTGAGCTGTAGTGTCGGTGTCCATGCGAAAGACATGGCCAAGCCACCGGGGCCGCTGTATTTTAAATCACTGCACTATGTTCATGTCGTTGTAAAGCTCCATCGTTAAATAAACATATGTACATTAGACTGCATCACTCCCCACACAAAACCATGATAAAAACATGGCAAGGTAGAACCGTTCTCTCAATTTGTCGGCCATGATTTTTTTTTTTTGAAATTTGCCAACATTATAAAATCATATAAAAGTGAAAATAAAAAATTGAAATTGTTCGAAATTGTTGTTGCTTGAGATCGAAAATGAAAATGTGTGTGTGAGTTTGTGAGTAAATTTAAAAATTAAATTGTTTGGAAACGTCAAGAATTTTAAAAGTGACTCTCAGCGGTTCTACCTTACTATATTTTTATCATGCACAAAACAACACCCAGATTCATAAAATCAATCAAAAATTTTCATGAAAATGTCATTTTTTATTTTTTATGAATAATGCCATAACAACATACAAATTAGAAATTTGTTCTACACCACACATATGGTAAGTAAAAAATAGGCAGGCATTCTTTAATTTAACAAACACGTTGTATAAATTTGAAAAGGTAACCAGTTTCCTCTCTTAATATGCGTACGTTTAAACGAAATTTTTTTAGAGTGTAGCTTTACTTGATAAAACCAGTTGCAACAGCGCGGGACCTAACAAATCATTTTTGCTAAATGCTTCAAATTTAGGGCACTCTTTTAAGAACCAACTTTTTATTGTGGCACACACTTAGGGTGGCTCTTAATGAAAAATATGATTTCCTCTTTTTAATAAATGGCGCTGTATCTGTCTTAGTGGCAGGCACAATAGACCACTATGTCGCGGTGCAAACCTCATTTTTTATCTATGTATTTATTATTATCTGTCTTAGTGATTTAAGTCGACTTAAAAATTGATGTCAGCCGTATATATACATGTATTCTTTTCTTTCGGTAGCGAACTGAGGCCTATTAGAAACACTTATTTTCAACGCATAAGAGACCTTCCCTTTTATTTTGCTGCTACCAGCTTGTAGCGCATCATATACGTACTTTCGGGCATGAAGCCACTGTTTTTTTCTTCCTCGTATTATTTGACATTATAACCGTTTGTAGGTTTTGGCCGAGAGCAAAAAACTTCACCAATTGTCGCTCGTGTGAAGTCGTCTAGCGAAGTTGCAGAGAGATCCTTCTCCATCAGGTCCTCCCATTGTGTTTGTGGGCGCCCTTGGTTTCGTTGTCCGCCCAGCGCAATCAACTACATAAATACAAAAATGTGGTGTGGGTGGATTACCTTAATTAGTATATTTTTCAGTATAAAAAAACACTGTAAAAATGCGGTCAGTGGTAATTCGGCAAGGTCTGACGTCTGAATCCACACTGATAAGGTCCAACCAGTTGGTTCATGACTAATGTGACCAACCGTACTTCTTTCGGAAGTACAGTACATCTTTTTTCGCTCTTGTACTTCGTACTTCGAAGTACAGTCAAATCTACTTCTTTACGATATTTTGTACTTCAGGGGGGAGATTCTGTAACCAGTTAGAGACAATTTTCGGATCACTGACGCATGATATAAATGTTATTGCGTCAAAAAGTGCGATAGCGATTCGAAAATGGTCGCTAACTGGTTACAGCATCTCCCCCAGGTCCTGTTCTTCTCCGTTCTTCTGGACATTCATCACATGGCCTGGGCGATAAATTCATTTAAACCATTAAAGTCGCCGGGGACCGATGGCATCATATCTGCGTAGCTGCAAAGGGCCCTGAAGTTTCCGTGCAATTGGTTGGATCCATGCATGAGGACGGAGTACATCCCCAAGGTTTGGAGGATAGTCAGTGTTGCGTTCATCCCGAAGGCCGGAAAAGGTTATCATGTTTCTCCTAGCGATTTTTGGCCTATCAGTCACTTTCTTTCAAGAGCTCAAGTCAAGTAAATTCATAATCTGGGGGTTGAAGCCAACCTAATAAGCTTACTTCATGATAGAACTGTCGCGGCGGAGTGGGGGAGTCCATGGCATTAAGTCACCCTCGCGATATAGGGACCGGACATTCCAGGTGCTTATCCGTAAATTGTAGTCCATATTCCGTGTGCAAGAATATAATTGAACATTTTGTCCCAAAAAGCTTCGTGGTCCACGCAAAATGGGTCGTAGATCTTGCAGGAGCAGATATCTCCTCAAAGGTTGAAGAAATAGATAGATCGAAGAGAGAAACAACCAAATTAAGGCTAAGATGGATGAGTTGGCAGGTCGTATCCGTAATTTTCAGTTGAATCCTCCAGCTGCTTTGACGAACATTCCTAAGGTAAAGACTCCATCCTTTGACGGCACAGTTCCTTTCCAGGTCTTTAGGCTGCATTTCGAGAAGACGGCTACAGCAAACCATTGGAGCATGGAGGATAAATCCGCTGCGCTGTTCGTTGCAATAAAAGGAACTGCAGCAAACTGTTTATAGGTGCTGTGGAAAGGCGTTATGGTAGCGAGCATAGGAGACAGGGGATTTACCGAATGGAACTGGAGAACCGCTACCAAAAAGTCAGCGATACTCTACACAAATTCGTCACAGAGATTGATTGGCACTTGGAGACGCATCTGATGAGAACCTCGAAAAGGTAAAAATCCAGAGACTCATGAACGGAATATGGGACATGTACACGAAGCGATCAACATATGCGAATCCACGCTAGTATGCTCAGACACAGGAAAAGTCAGCGCTCCTAAGTATATCAGCTTAGCAAGCCCATCGAGTGGAAGTGAAAACACTGGACGTGATGAATGAAATCCTGAAAGTACTCAAGTCGATGGCAATGAAAAATAGTCCTGATGCAACCGATAGAAAGGATGCTACAACAGGTACAAAAGTTCACCTGGATGCAAACACAGGGCTGAAGAAGACGAGCCCAACTCCAATCAGTCGTTAAACAGAAACGTGCCAGCAGGAAGGGGCGCACGCAGGCTTCCGCAATTCATCATAATTTTATGTACGCTCATTAGATTAAAAATAATAATAATAGATTGGTGCTTACACATATGTTAGTGTTTGGCCGAGCTTCTCCTCCGATGTGTGGCGTGCGCCTTGATGTTGTCACACAAAGCGGAGGGACCTACAGTTTTACGCCGACTCCGAACGGCGATTGTATTTTTATGAGAAGCTGTTTTTCATGGCAGAAATTCACTCGAAGAATTGCCATTGCCTGCCGAGGGGCGACCGCCGTAAAGAAAAAATGTTTCTATATTTTTGCGATGTTGTTTTAACCAGTGCTTGAACCCAGGCTCTGCGGAGTGGATGCCCGCACTGCTTACCACTACACCATAGCGGTATTATATTCGTTTTTGGTTTTAAATACTATACTATAACAATATCTAATTTCTAAAATAAAAGATTTGTT